TAGGGGTTTGGGGTTTAGGGTTTAGGAGTTTTGGGTTTTGGGTTTTGGGGATTTGGGGTTTTGGGGTTTAGGGTTTAGGGGTTTGGGTTAGGGGTTTAGGGTTTAGGGGTTAGGGTTGAGGGTTGGGGGTTTAGGGTTTAGGGTTATAACCCTTACTTAGAGGATCAGTGGACTTAGTAAGTAGGGTTACAAGTACCCTAACTAGGGTTATAAGTAGATAGAACCATAGTTACCTTACTTATATCCCTAGTTACTAAGTCCCATGATCCTCCAAGTAGGGTTTACCTGAACCCTATAAAGATTACCTTTTTAGGGTTTAGGGCTTAAGGTCTTTAGAGCTCCTCGAAAGAGTCCTTAAAAAGTCAGGTGATTTGGGGTTAAGGTAGCTCAGGAGAATCCCCTGAATTCAGGAACTTACCCGCAACCACAATACGGATCCCCCTACAACAACAAGGCAAATTCCTCTATCTAAACCCTAAACCCTAAACCCCAAACCCCAAACCCTAAAGCCTAAACCCTAAACCCCAAACCTCACCCTGGGTCTGGGGTCCGAGAATTTCGGCGAGGCCACGGAGAATCCTACAAGGATCTCCAAACTCCAAAAGTTCACATCTTGATAGGTCAAAACCGCAGGCAAGGCTCGCCGTGCGCCGTGAACAAGGAGGTGGAGTCCTCCTGGCGGAAGCCATTTGGGCATCCCACTGGGAAGGACATCCACGGGGCGCTGGGCCGTCCCGAATTTCTGCAGAATGCCGTCTCCCCACCGCGAGTCCGAGCGATATGCGCCGTCGACCTCCTCGTTGCGTAGCAGAGCATCGGCCCAACGGTGAAGGTGGCCCTCTGCCCACTCTTTGCGTTTGGGGCCAAGGGTTTAGGGTTTAGGAGTTTAGGATTTGGGCTGCAGGGCTTAGGGGTTCTGGGTTGAGGGTTTAGGTTTTGGGGTTTAGGGTGGAGGGTGCTGGGTTTAGGGGTCTTTACTGCTTGGCGAGGAGGGGTTTCAAATTTCTGGCGCAGTGCAAACCACAACGGCGATCGATCCTCACCGATGGACCGGCACGACGCTGTTCTGTTTTGGCAATCCAAACGATTCAGCTCATCAGCATTCAAGAAAGATGACACGCAAGAACCGTGATGATCAGAATGAAGACAATGCTACTATCTATAATGCCATAAAGAATGGTAACTTAGGCTAGTCCTACTTACTAAGTCACCTGAACCTCCCTCTAAACCCCAAACCCTCAACCCTAAAACCAAAACCCTAAACCCTACTCCACACCCTCAACCGTAAACCATAAGCCCTAAACCCTCAAGCCTAAACCCTAGTCACCCCAAGCCCTCAACCCTAAACCCTCAACCCTAAACCCTAAACCCTAAACCCTCAAACCCCAAGCCCTTAACCGTAAACCCTCAACCCTAAACCTTAAACCCTCAAACCCAAACCCTCAACCCTATCTAGGTTCCCCAATAAGGGTACCCTTTTTCCTAGTGTTTGGTTTCAATAAGGGAACCTGAAAAGAGAAGGGCAAAAGGGTACTACTGTGGAATCTAGCCCTACACCCTAAACCCTAAAC